TTTTTCTTCATTTACTAAAGTGAATACATCATGCAAACTCAAACTATACTTATAGTAGGTTTTATATGGATTCTAGCAAGTATTTCTTATTGCAGTGGAGATACATGCTATTGCAGATGCTGTGCCGGTAATTTTTGTACACCCACTTTACAAGGCACCATTATTATTCCATCATGTGGTTCATCTTGCAAATCGGAATGTCAAAGAAAATATCCAACACAATGTGCAAGTGGATCCGGTAGTGCCAATTATCAATGTACGAGTGGTGGAGGTGGCGGTGGCAGTGAAACTCCTAATTGGACTGGTACATTTGTTGTACAAAATAGATGTGACAAAATTTCCTGCTGTTGTCCTGCTAACGAGATAATTCTTTCATCTGCAAGTGCGAATACACTGCGTATTCAAAGTCGATTTACATGTCTTGATGTAACAGTTTCGCTTAACGACACCATTCAGACTCCTAGTGGTTTCAGTACCACGCTGTTATTTGCTGGAGACCCAATTTATATTACAATTAGTCAAGACAGTCGTACGATTCAATTAAACAATGCAGTATCTCCTGAATGTAGCGAAGTTGCTGTACGAAATGAACCTCTATCGACCTCAACGATTGGAGATACATCCAATGCTACCATCAATTTGACATTCGTTCCTCTGTTGGTTGGATTGATACTCATCAAACTATTTATCAACTGAACAGATTTCAGAATCTTTTTTTTATTTGTTCTAATTTTTATTTTTTCCATGATTCATTCGTTCAATACTCCCGAAAATGATTTCTTAACCTTTCGTAGTTTTTTCAAAAATAAATTCATATGACACGATTATCGATAGTGTTTAGAGATGTTGCTCAGGTAGACTGATGTGATGCGCTATCTATCTGCTCTTTTTCGTCATTATAACCTAAATTTCAAAATACTAGTATCTTATTGCGCCATCTTACTGTTAAAAAAGTTCTTTGTCATTATTTATTTTGTGTGTCGAAATACTTGTTATGATAAGGCAGGAAGACGATAATGTCAATCACATGAATAAGTATGTGCAAGAATTGAAAGTCAATGTAAATATTTAGCTAAAGGTAGTTCCGATGAAATGCATAGTTTTATTGTGAAAATTATACATCAAGTAAAGAAGAAGGTGTGGAATTATATTTCAAGATATCATCAAGCTGTCAGTGCTGATGGAGATCTACATAAAGAGGATAGAAATCGAAAACAAATTGTCAATATTGTATTTTCACAAGGTATTAAACACCTTCAAATATAATACAAAAGAGCTATTATTACTTACATTAAGGTATTTAAACGTGCACCCTCACCCCTACGCCTTAATACATAGGAAGGAATGGATGAAATAAAGAATAAGTTCCTTATTTATTTTATTTAAAAAAGACTTTTAGGTAGAAATTCAAGGACTTCATTAGTAAAGTATTTTACAAGAATGACGATATGGACACTATTAATACACAGAAGAAAATTATAAGTTTTGTTTTTATCCTAATATTTGACAATAGTGTCATCTATGATGAAATAAGATTTTTAATATTTTTTTCAATTTCTTTATAATTAAAATAAATATTTCTTGAGTGATTTCATTGATTTGACGTCGTTTATTTTCCACAATTGAAACAAGTCCGTAACAACTTCAACACGTGAGTCTAAATTCAGTGTGAAATATATAATTATCATGGTTGAATAATTTTTCATATATTTTTTATCGTTTGACGTCGACAAAAACTATTTTAAAGGTAAACTATATATTCATTTACCTTTACTCTCTTCTCATTACAAAAACAAGAAGAAAAAATTGCAATGGCAAATAATCTAAACAACAATACATCTTCTGACAATGTGAAAATTTTCAATCGATTGAACGAAGTATGAAAAGTTTTTCTTTTTCTTTTTCAAGCTATATACTTTTCTTTCTAGTTAATCAAAGATAAAATTGTATCAAAGGAATATACAACTGATGGTATTCAAATGGATTTGAATTTTACTAAACTAAAAGATAATGATTGGCCTATTGTACTCGAACAAATACAAAATAAAGATTATCCTTTACGAGGTTTATCATTATCATGGGATACAACTAGTAATAAAATGATCGAGCCTGGTTTTATTCAATTTATTAAAATAATTGAAAATCATACAACATTGATTCATTTCAAAATCAGATTATATTCCATTTCTGATAATACGAAAACAAATTTTTTATTAGGCGCATTGAAAAAGAATCGTTCGATCAAAAATTTATCCGTAAATGCAACTGACGTTAATCAACAAACAACAAAAGCATTTTCAGAAGTATTGAAAGATAATCAATCGATACTTTCACTCGATTTTTATAACTGTAATTATGCCGATCCTCGTGAGTAAGTTTGTCTAACGATTAATTTAATATTTCAAGAAACAGATTAACTTTGAATAATATATTTTTTTAGACCTGCATATCCTATGTTTGATGATTGTGCTACTAACTTATCTAATTCATTTACAACAAGCGTTCTTCAACGACTTAAAATCGGTGATATTGATGATAGAACCTTCAAGATATTACTGCCATCATTAGTAAAAACGTTGCATGTTCTTGATTTATCTGGAAACATGAATTATACACCAGATATTTCTACCTTCCAATCTCATCTTCAATCAAATGATAATACCTTGAAAGTATTCATTCTCAATTCTTCCCGATTTGAGAAGTTCAAACAATCAGAATTGTCTTCAAAAATTCATGTTGTTAATCGTGATAGTTTTCTTGGCAAATTATTTTCTCTCGAAGGTCCTATTTCTATAACACCACATACAATGAATAAAACTGATTGGTCTATATTATTGACGGAATTAACAAAAGATATTAATAGTTTACGTGAAGTAGATTTAGATTTGTCTAATGGATG